GGGGGGGGGGGGGGGAGGGGGTCTAAGCGGCCCAGGAATGTGTTCCATATAGGCTGCAGTGGTGATCCTACAGGTTCTGTTACCAGACCTACGACATCGTATGCTACCTAATGATGCAGTATGATGAAATGCGAAATGTCCATTCAGAAATAACAGACTCCCAAACCAATTCACCTAATATCTTGTAAGAGAATGCAGCGGTAGAATTTACCACAGCTCTGGAACAACAACATACAGTCCTCTGCACAGCAACTATGAACCAAATTACGTTGTCCTCCGAAGGCCAGTAAAGACATATTAACACTTTCATTGTTGAATTATCTGTTTTTGTTACATTTTCTAGTTATGTACAAACCCACAACTGACAACTCGGGTTGCTAAAACCAGTATCAAAGGACTTTTTTTTTTCTGGTACCACCAAATTCTGAAAGCTGCTATTTCATAAGATTAATGTGTGTAAGTCATATAGGGAGGTTGCCGGCCCGCCGCAAATCGTTCGGCGAGTCCAGCGTGTCTAAATCTGCAGCACAACCGACAAGCCCACATGCCAACACCACCCAAATCACAGGATATGCCGAAAATGGTCCCTGTTGGTGCAGTCATTCTTTGTAGCGCCGTAACATGCCCAAATGCGAGTAAAGTTCCTTTTTTTGGTAACAGAACCTGAAACCTAAAACCTGAAGCTCTAAACCGGTCTCTTGCACAACGTGACAGAGATTTTCTAGGGGAATGTTTTAAGCCCAGTTTCATCTAGTTTCTCTTCAGTCAGCACTTGAAGTTTTGACTCCCCCCTCTTAATCCAATAATGATCCTATCCGTCTGAACATATACAATTCTTACCGTCAACGCAACAATACATTATTTATTTATTTTATTTAGACCATGTGAGTAATTTTTTCTTTCTATTTCCACCTGCAGTATCCTGAAATTTATCCTGAAACCTTCTACTTACTTTTCACATTGGCGCTGCATAAGAACACGCGTTTCAATGCGTAACTCTCACGTGCCACTTCGAAACAAGACGTAACGCGACTGATTCAATATTTAACACAATAGTAAGGGATTGGGGTTACAGCTGACAAGCACATAACGCATGAACTCAATTCACGATAGCCATAGTGAAAAGAAATTGTACCGTGTATAAATTACTGGCCACTACACCTAACGACAGCGTGTCTTGCCGCCGGCAGGGCCCAACGATTAGTGGAAGGCCCTCAGATGATCCCCTTGTACATCTCATTCACGGAAATGTAAAAACGTGCCCATGTAACATTTCTGTTTGCACAGAGGGGAAAGGGTACTAATTCCAAATAACAGAAGTGTTCAACCAACAAACGGAGCCGCCTTTATTTCTAGTGACAGTTTACCACGTAGAACCGCCTCTGTGGTCTAGTGGTCAGAGTTCCTGCCTACATATCCAGCAGCCCCGGGTTCGACTCCCGGCACTACTAGATTTTCTGAGAAGTAGCGGGTCTGAAACAGGGTCCACTCAGCCTCGTGAGGATAACTGAGGACTACTTCAAGGAAACAGCGCCTCCGGTCCAGAAAACCTAAATTAATGGCCGTGGGGCTTCGTTGCGCTGACCACGTGACACCCTCTATCCGCAAACGTTGGCACTAACTTCGCCGACAAGCGGCGGTCGCTCGGTCGGTATAGTTCGCTTGCGGACTACAGGCCACGTAGACTAACTTTTTGCACCTCAAGCTGCTGACTTCATTGGTTGGATATAAGCTTACTGCTTTGTGCCAATGGAAAATGTCATTCTAGGGACTTTCTTTTGACAATTACGAGAGAACAGCCTAACTGAAGTTTCCGACACTTTTTTAACTACAGCCATTGTGTTTAGTGACGAATCAGAAAGAGGCGGCAGTGGATCCGCTAAAAACAAAACAAAACAAAAAGACCTCTGAAGTGAGTAAGATTGCTGACTTCCTCAATTGGTTAGATCTGCTACAGTCAGCACCCTCTACAACAGCTTCACAATGGCACAATCAAAATGATGACACGTCTACAGGCTTAATATGGGATGAGGATATGTGCTCTTAACAAGGTTCAGCCTGCTCGGTCAAACAATGTGACCTGCTTCCGTAACAAAACAAAGTGTCAGTTCAATGAACCTCCTTATCAAATTACAGGGATAAAAGAGAGGAAGCATTCGGTATAACAGACCTTATCATCACTTTAAGCCCTCCATAAAGATTGCTTTTTATGGGAGAACGAAATAAATTGTCTTTTTGTCGTCCGTCACCGACAAAACGGAGGGGAGCACGCGGTAGCGTAGTTCGTTGGTGCACTATGCTATAAGCCGGAAGGCTGCGGGTTTCAGTCCCGGTGAGGTGGATTTTTTTAAATTGACCTAACCCTTCCGGCCGCATTACGGCCCTAGGGTCGACGCAACCTCTAAATGGGCCCATATACGTACGAGTCTGGCTCGGCGAGCTTGACTCGGGAGCCGGGCTCGGATTATTTTCACCACAAACGCATGAGCTGACTCCCAACTTTGCGACCCACACACGGACGAGTTTGGCTCATTGGAACCCGAGCCGAGTCGGATTCGCGAGCCAGACTCGTACGTGTATGGGCCCCTTAACAGAAACGACCACAAGGAATTTTCGTGGGGGGGGGGGAAATGGCGGCCGGAGCGTAAGCACGACGACATAACCGCCATCTGTGAGCCGACTGTCTAGAAAATGTGGGAGTCTCGACGTCTCACAACCCTATGGGAATTCACGGCCTGTTACAGGAATAGCTTTACCATTTTTTACCTCCAAAACCATTCAACAGTTCTGATTCAATTAGGTATCGCCTTGAGAGTAGGCACTGATATCTGGGGGAGAGGGGGATACGTATGTGGTCCGAATCTATTGTTTGTAACCTCCTGCCTTAATGAAACTCAAATAATTTATCTTTCTCAAATAAAGCTCATTATACAAGAAAATGGTGCGTGGAAAAATACAGACATCATTAACATCTATAACTTTTACTTGAAATGCTTTAGATACTGTTTCTATTTAACGAAAAGAGAAACTGGACTTCCTTTTAAGTAACTAACAAAATTAAATAGATCTGGAGATATTAACACAGATTCAAAATACCAAATTTAATGGAAATCCATTTAGTAGTTCAGGTTATAGGACATACGGACGGACGAACAAACACGATCTTCACATTACGCGTTCACTTTATGCCCAGAACGCATGACAACAGCGAGATGGATGAAGGTAACTTTCGCATATCGCAGTGTGCGATCAATCGTGAAGTGAAAGTGCAGTTCCTGAAGGGTCACGGAGACTGTCACGCGCTCCGCTGCAGCGCGGTTCCCGTTCCACACTGACGTGTCGTCTGCATCACCACCAATTTCTTTCTTAATGTTTGTCATATTTCACGACGCTGTGGGCAGTTCAGATTATACTCGTACAGTGGCCTATGATAAGGTGATATGTGAGTAACGAATGGGATAGGCTGTGCAAGGAAGTGGTCACGGCCTACTTTGAGGTACTATCAAGGCATCTGCTTCAAGAACCACGAAAAATATCAACCAGGATCCATGGTGTACATACCGAGATTCGAACAAGTCACCTTCCAAATACAAATAAGAAGTGTTACCGCT